GTATAGGATAATAATCTAACATGCACTGAGCTGACGTCACACGAATGTGAAAAATTGAACTGTAAACGGCAACACATATTTTCAATACTTACACCTTCATAATAAATAGGAATTTTAAATTTTAATCTAAAGTGGTCCTAATCTTGACATTACAGTATCTTCATAGGTAATATATTTTCACCAAATTTTTAATAACAAATCCTTCATACTATCAAATTATTACGACCAAAATATTAACTCTCAAAACTTCAGTGGTTGATCAACCATCGTTTAAACGGCATGGTGTCTTTCATGACGCCCATAAAAAAACTAAATATAAGTCTCTATTGGAATGGATATTGTCTATTCATAAAGCTATGATCTAGGCCTATATATTGTTGTCAATATCACAATGTATATCAATGTAGCCTATATGTTCCATCGTACAATAGACCTCACAGTTATAACGTAATTCCCTTCCTTTGCCTGTTCCTAAAGGAAATTTTAATTTATTCAAGAAATATGTTAAGGAATCGTTCATATAACTTTTTAATAGTTGCGTGACTATTCGTTTTGCTGATAAGTGCTTGTGAATTCCAAACATTTATTGTACGGGAACTCCGTTCCTTCTTGGTATGCCCGCCACCTCACTCACCAGCAATCTGTACACTTTCCTCGTTTCAATGAATTTTCTTTTTCTTTCAATTTTAATGTTTGAATTTTGTAAAGTAGTTGATATGTATCTATATATTTTTTTTATTTAGGAAATAAATATAATACACATATAATAACGTTGTTAATTGACAATTGGTTTCGATGTTATGCTTGAAGAGTAACGAGTTTTATGTCAATGAAAGAAATTATTGTACTTCCATTTCGGTCCTACTGAGCATAACCGGCAAGCTAATGTCCCGCAATTCTTGTTCAGTGTTAACTTTTAAATAGCCTAGAGATTGCATTGCCTGCGTACATATATTTTGAATTTCCAGTACTGTTGTTAAGTTTGAGTTCAGTCTCCACGCATGCGCAACGTCCGACGACTTTTTATTCAGTTTATGATTGCACTTCTTCTTAGTAGTTTTTGTTTGGTTCTTTTTCATTGTATTCTCAACTATCCATTGTTTTATTTTTCCAGTAAATGGAATTTTTAGAAAATCATATATCTGTATTGATGTTTGCAACGGTTGCATTGAAAGATCCTCAAATCGAATTCGTTTATAGTTTCCTTGCAACCACTTGGTCCCTCTGTCTGTTAAGTTGACAATTTCACTGACATGTCGACAAGTCCAGTACATGCCGAACAAATTGTTATTCACAGTGTATCGTACATCGTAAGAATTCTGACGTGAGAAATGTATTCCTCTTGGGTCCCGCACAAGATGAATAATTTTTACATTGTGCTTTACTACTACTTCTTCTAAAAATTTAATGTCTGTTAATTTAATGACTTTGAAAAATTTATACGGATACTTTTTACATGCATGAGTGACGTTTTCGGGCGTCAGATCTGGACACTGTTTGTATATGCGACGCGTACATGGTCCTGGGTCGGCACCTTGAGTTATCTCCTTCGGACAAAGCTCAATAAGTGCGTTGCTGGACACTCTATGGAGAACATCAATATTAGTTTGTTTAATCCATTCACTCAATAGACTGTTTTCAAAATCGCATTTGTACATAGCTTCCAGTACTTCTGTGGTTTCGTCCTGTTTGACTTTCTCCTGGCCTAAAAATCGCAACGGTTCGAATAGATAGAAAATGTCTTGATGCATATTGAATAATTGACCAGTGAATGACGACCCTGACCGCCAAGAAGCTATCAAAATCACGTTTATTTTTGATTGTCTGCCTGCTGGTACGGAGGTAAAGTGCCCGGATCGTCCCTTGTTATGGTATTCATTGACACCAACGCTGTTAAATTCAGTATCACTGATAGGTTTATGTATTATATTCCACCTCGTAAAGAAAAAAAAGATGTAAATGAAGATAATAATTAAGAACATAAAAACATTTCGGCGGCATTTTCGCAACATTTTCATTCTTAACATGATGAAGAGATTTTGAAAAGGCGAAGGTCGAAGTGGGCAACTACGCGTTAGTTAAATATCTGTCGATTCTGCTGTTCGCTGGCCAATATATATATATCACCCATTTTCTGTCTTCCCAGGCAGGTTGTTTGTGTGTTTCGCCCACGCCTACTTTTGTCTATAACCACTACATTCGTTCTCCGTAGCAGCCGATGCTCAACCGAGATGCCATTCGTCGATCTGGAATCACTGCATTCAACAAAACTTGAGTTCAATTGCATGTTAGCCGAGGCGATGACCCGTCGGCTGTGACTTTGATAAACCAAACCACTCCTAGGAATTCGTTTCCAGATTGCAATCAGACAAATTATATCTTCTTACCTGTGTGAAACGGATATAATATACATTAAAAAAAACAAGAAGACATTTATTAATTGGTCTGTAAAACCGGTAATCTTAATGCAATCCAGTTAAATATTACTAGCGCCCAGAAGACTCCTAATAACTTTTCATCACAAGTCTAGTATAGGGAGTAATATCAGTAAAAACAGAGGAATTTGAAGCTTAGCTCCACCGAGTTCCTTGAGTTGGGCTGTCCATAGTTACCAACCTAAGAGATTTAAAATGCGTGACTACACCAGTTTCTGGGGGCCAAGGGGCCACCAGGGCCCCCGCCGGGGTCCAGGGTCGGGGCCCCGGTGGGGTTCTGGGGGGGGGGGGGGGGGGCGATAACCACTGGCCGTTCTGACGATCTTATCATTTTTAATCTGTTTTTCGGGAGTGTTTATTGACAATATCAGTTACATAAACAAAAATATTTTTAATAAAGCCACGTACAATTCGAGTTTCAATGTACAGTATGTTTATTTGAGCACCCGAATTATGTACACAAACATTCATTACTCACAAAAGATGTGTATAAGAGACAGATGGAACGCAGGGGCGGATCCAGGATTTGAAAGAGGGGTTCATTTCCCATAAACCCAAAAATAAAAGGGGGTCCGAGGGTCCTTCCCAGGGAAAATTTTGAGTCCTAGATGGCCGGAAATCAACATTATTGAGTAGTTGGATACGTAGTCTTTCTTCCATAGATTGATGAACTGATAGGCCTGAAGAACACACTTTCGTACGTAAATTATTACGACGTCGAGCCAAAACTGTTTTTAATTGAATGCTAGTTGTTCTAAGCCTATTTTGTCCGATCTGCCAACCTATGTCTAGGTAGGTTACATAGTTACCAACCTGAAATAATTGAAATGCGTGATTTGAAACGCGGGGCGGCGGCCAGCAGAGCCCTCGCCGGGGCCCCGGTGTGGGTTCTGGGGGACGATACCCGGATAACCACTGGCCGTTCTGACGATCTTATCATTTTTAATCTGTTTTTCGGGAGTGTTTATTGACAATATCAGTTACATAAACAAAAATATTTTTAATAAAGCCACGTACAATTCGAGTTTCAATGTACAGTATGTTTATTTGAGCACCCGAATTATGTACACAAACATTCATTACTCACAAACATGCGGTGGTGAACCTTTCCTAACATTCGACACTCTTTCTACCCCTCCTGTTATACTCCTACACCCCTGATTCTAAATTAATTTGTTTAAAGGGCCAACATTTATTTTGAGTTTGACTCACGGGCCAAAAGATAAAGGGCCTATCTGAGTACCGGTAATTGAGCAAGTCGTTATGTGTTTTGTAATTTCAAATTCTACTTTTTGTTACAATATATGGTAACAAATTCTGTAACTTTAAGCAAAGAATACGTACACAATTATCAATATCCTATTCACATCCTAGTTGGTTAAAACAATAAGAAATTGCATTCGGTGTATAATAAATGTTAGTAACATAAACATTAAAAATATAATACGCATACGGTACTTTATAAAACATAAATTGACATAATTTTCTGATAGATAAACAAATTAAATAAAATTAATTAAATGAAATATTTTTAATGATATAGGCGTAATTGCTACCACGAACCGTAACACATAATTTGAAATAAAAGGAGGCGTATCGTAGAAGAGGATCACTAATTAGCATTGACCTCAAAAGTACTGTAGAAGTACAGAAATAATACTTCCGCTACTTGCCGGAGTGTTTTTGTGGATGCAGAGAAATATGGGTATATATAGAACGACTAGACAGTAGGTGTGATATCGAAATTCCAAAAGAGGAAACATGTTATAAAGATATCCTGTTTTCTTTCTTCTATTTCTTATGTAAAACCGGATTTAAACTTTCAAAACGTTTCTACAATGTGTATTTATGCATCATCAATACTGTATTGCGAATGCATCAATAGTCAATTAGTCAATTAATTGAATAACGCTTTTGTATCATCGGCACACCTTTTTAGTGTAATCTTACAACGACTAGACAAAAGTTAATTAATATAGAGAAAACACAAAATAAAAAATTTTAAAAAACAGGTTCTCTCTTTTATAAAGTATAATGAAAATAAACTTATGGAAAAAAATCAATAGGAAAACTAGGAGGAACAATGCATCGAAAATGTGGGGAGAAATAGCCTGGAGAATAACTCTCTAGGTAGAAAAAAAAATCCGCGGGGAAAATTAGCAGGTGGCAAGTAGCCACCGTAATAGTGCTATATTCTGTAAAGTAAAGCCTTAAAACACTTTCATTTTAAGTCTACTAAATATAAAAATCTTCCCGGGCTTTTCCAGATAAAGCTAGAACTAACTCTTTGGCGTTTTTTGATAGCAGATTATTTTGTTTTTAGATTTCAGTGGGTTAACCCGACTCAAAGACAGGCTTGCGTACAAACCTAGCATGCACATTCATCTTCCATACAGGAGCCATGTTCACACGCATGATCTTTTTAAAATTGCGAAATTTTCTCCCATATTACAGAAACTTCTTTTTGAATGAAGTTGAAACTAATACAAAAATAAATTCTTTTGTATCTAAAATAATTTTTTAAAATGAATTAAGAAACATTAGAAAATTCAAGATTAAATACCAGGACCCAATAGTATTTTGTTACGTTTCTTCACAGAGGAGGGTTCGTCCGAACCCTGACCCCCCCCCTCCCCTGGCTACGCCACTGGAACGTATCGCAAGTATTATCAGCAAAATGCTCCATGGTAGACCAGAGCGAATATAAATAAATAAAGATAGCCGTTAACACTCTTAGGTCCGAGTCCTGCCAGAGACATTTTTATTACACGATTTCTTTATTCATTTATTTACAGGACTACATTCGTTGAGAGCTATGTTACACGATGTATTATTATGTCCTTTATTCGAACACTTTGATGATTTATATACATACATATACATATACACACACACACACATATGTATATAAATATACATACATATACACATATAAAAATAAAAGAAACATAGGTAGAAACAAAATTTTGAATAATAAAAATGGGATGGGGATATGCAAGGTAAGAGAAAATCAGGTAAGATTAAGCAGGAATTATTGGTGAGGATTTGAAATAGAATGCTTAAAATTTGAAAGTGTCATAGATTTAAAGTTGGTTTTAATATCATCCGGGAGTTTATTCCATAATTTAGTAGAACGGTAAACAAAAGTTCTTTTACCTTGCATATTATTCCAGGTGTATTCAATAAGAGTGTTTTTACTTTGACTGCGGGTACAAT